AAACTATTGAACTTATTTAATGAGTTTGGTTGTTGTTATATCTTTATCTAATCTAAAAGTTATTAATTGAATATTTTTATATTTTGTTTTTTTTTATTCTTTAAAATTTTTGCTTTTCTTCATGAAAAGGAAGTTGATGTGTTTCCATTATTTGTTATATACAGATATGAGACGAGGTACGCTAGGTGCATCTTATTCTAGATAACAGGTTGATCTAGAGGGAGAACCACAAAGGCCACTTCATCGTCTTATTCGAGGGGTTTGGGGGCCTCGTAGGGCTGTTCTTACACAACAGCAGCTGCCTAGCTTGAGCTAGCCCCCTGCATAGCAGCAACTTTCTAGTTTGACTCAACTTCCCACATAGCTGCAGCAAGAGCAACCCACTATTACTCAGTCACCATTGGACGATGACCAGTACACTGATGATGACGCAACAATGGAGGAGGACACTGAAGAGCATGGTTGTCAAAATCGAGTTTTAAATCGTCAGATCGTAAGATTTTACAATTTTAGGTATGGATTTCGAGTAAAATCTATGTTAAAATCGGAATCTCATGAAATCAGAAGGAGAAATCGTAAAATCGCAATTTTATGGTAAAATCGTTTGAAATCTCGATTTCACATGGAGTGGAGGAATCACTGGTTGGTCGGTTGCTTTGAGACGGAGGAGAAGACTGGCGACTGTTGTTAGGCAAAGGAGAGCAGATCAATGATTAGGAATGAGTGATGAGAATGGTGATCGGTGAGGGAAGGGGGGAAAACTCGTGAAGGTTGTAGATGTCCAATTTCTTCATAAAATTTTCAAATTTCTTCATAAAATTTTCTTTTTTTGCATGTAGCACTTGAAACAAAATAAAATATATGCTAGTTATATTGAATTTTAGTTATGTTAATATAAAAATATAAATTTTTATTATTTATTTATTAAATTTAGTAAACTCTCGATTTTACCGATTTGATTTTACGATTTCGATTTTACCTAACGAAAACGATTTTAGGTAAAATCTCGATTTTGACAACCTTGCTGAAGAGTGTAATTTGGAGGCTGAGTTGGATGCTGAGTTTGCTATGCTTGATGCTGAGTTTGCTATGCTTGATCCTGAGTTAGATGCTCAGTTGGAAGAGGAGCTATCACGTGCTGTCCTGAAGATAGGACGTGGCATGGATAAAGGAGATGACGCTTCTGCAAACCCGAGTCAAAGGAAGGTGCTTAGCCTTAATTGCCGAGGCACATTCAACCACGAGAGGTTTGGGAGGATTGCCACAGTAATTTGGAAGTACTTGTATGATGAGCCAGTGCCTTTTTGGTCTAGCTGGCCTGAGGAAAAGAAGAGGGTTGCTTGGGAGAATTTCCAGGTATGAAAATTATAGAATAAAATGAAGTATTTTTTGAGAA